CAATTCTACCCGGAGAATGTCGTCTATGAGGCGCGCAAGAAATTGAGGGAATTGAAACATACGGGAACAATTCGTGACTATGTCAAAGAGTTCACGACCCTTATGCTTCAAATCCCAACCATGCCGGAGGATGATTTGCTATTCTATTTTCTAGACGGTTGTGCAACATGGGTACGACAAGAGTTGCAACGTCGTGATGTCAAAACCGTAGACGAGGCAATTGCAGTAGCCGAATCCTTGACGGAGTTTGAAGAAAGTTTTGAGACCGAAGCTCAAACTATCAAACCCGCCAAAGGAACTTTTGGGGATAACAAGGAAGATACAGGGAGAGCTATGCAATGGAGCAAGCCAGATTGGAGGCAAAATCCCAAAGTTGATTACAAACCCGTTGGCGACAAACCAACTACTTGGAGTAAGCAGTATGATGAGAGGAAGAGGAGTAATTTTACACCTCGAGGTTGCTTTATTTGCAAAGCCCGCCAAAGGAACTTTTGGGGATAACAAGGAAGATACAGGGAGAGCTATGCAATGGAGTAAGCCAGATTGGAGGCAAAATCCCAAAGTTGATTACAAACCCGTTGGCGACAAACCAACTACTTGGAGTAAGCAGTATGATGAGAGGAAGAGGAGTAATTTTACACCTCGAGGTTGCTTTATTTGCAAAGGACCACATCTCAGGAAGGATTGTCCTATGTTGGCATCATTAGCATCTATTTCCATTTCGGAGAGCAAACCGGAGGCCATAGATAGCCAAGATGAGGATGAAGTTCGAATGAATTCCTTCCAGTTGTTTAATGCTATGAGTGCTGAAACTGTTCCTGTGGAGATGGAAACACAACAACTGTCAAGGATGCAGTTAGCGGAAGTCCTTGAAGATGATAAGGACATGCTCGCGGAGTTGCCGAGGGAACTATTGAAAAAGAAGGAAAGTGAGGAAGCATTGTCAAAGAAGTCCGAAATTGGGTGCACAAAGGCTCAAAGTTTCGACAAGTGTGGGGACACTACAACCGGAGGAGTTGTCCATCCGAGGAACCAATGCAGAGGTGCTGAGGGTGAAGGTTGGATTGAGTGGGGGAGAATGTCACGGATCGCAAGGTCATGACTTGAAACTTGGCATGACACGGGAATGTCATGGCACAAGGTGGGAAAATGAGATAGACTTATGGCAAATAAGGTCTATGCTTCGGCAATATATGGCGATGAGTGCGTCGCCAAATTCAGTGGGGGAGTGATTTACACTTAACGCGGTCGCGTTCGATCCGTCCCGGTAGCGATCGCAAGATAGCGCGGGTAACGCGTTTCTGAAGGACGGAATAGCTTGCGATAGGGGACGCAAGCAGATTTGGTAAAGGTCGCAGGTAGATTCGGGCTGGGGATGCATAGATGACTTTGGGGCAGAATGCAGGCTGCCTAGATCGTGCAGTTTTTCAGGGCATTAATGAGGTTTTTGTAAGTCCCGACCCAGCCATTTTGAGAGGAAAAATACATGGACCTGCAGCCTGATATTTTGAGGATGCAAGTGGACAACTTGCACAACTTGTCCACTTGTGTGCCACTTGCAAGCTAGGCGCAAGTTGTAGGCAAGCTAAGCACGAGTTGGCAAGGATAAATATCAATGGTGCAAGCTAGACGCGAGTTGTATGCAAGCTAGGCACGAGTTGGCGACAACTTGCAAGGCAAGTTGTAATACCATCCACTTGAAGACAACTAAGGATGAGTTGGCAACAACCAAGCACGAGGTGGCGACAACCAAGCGCAAGTTGTAAAGTGGAAGGTTAAGGAGGTTAAAGTTTTTCTATAAATAGAGAGGTAGTCTCATATGTAAATGGTATGGAGTAGAGGTTAGAGCTCCATTTTTTCCCTTTTCTTACGGTACTCATTTTCAACCACAAATTTTTTATTAAAATAATATTACATGCAAATAAAAAAAAATATTATTTTTTAACCATATATTTCCCATTCATTTACTATTTCATAACACATTGCAAGAAATTAAAGGAGCTCAAACAACGCCTAAATAATAATTTCGTAAGATTCTTAATTATTTAAAATATTACCACTTCAAATTTTTTCAACTAAAACAATGAAAATTTCATCTGTTTAATTATGAAAATAAAGTGAATCATTGAATTATAGAATTGTAACTAGGATTATTTCATAAAAAAACAATTATAATTTAAATTGGTTCTGTTTTAATTCAATATAAGTCAAATATAAGACTAGCATGCCTAAAAAGTGTAATATTATTTATTTATCCGAATTATACAGTATTAATTTTTAAATATAGTCCATGCTTTGAAAATTACACCTGATTTTAAGCTAAATTTTAAGATCACAAGCATGTTTGCTTATATCACATCACATTGAGCAGGCCTTTGTTTTTCTTTCCGTATTTCATTATATTTATGTTCTTAGAGGAGTCAATGATTTATTTATTTTTTTTCGTCATGTTTTCTAACGGTTGTCAATTCAAAAATCAAGAAGCAATCGAGCCTAATTATTGGGAAATGAAGACTAATTTCTTTTCCGATAGTTTTATACGAAAGGAGCCTAATTAATAAACTAAACAAAAGCCTTAGTCAAGAATCCCAATCCTTATGCCTCTTTACAGGGAATAATGTTTCTTTTCTTGATATTCTAAACACATTTACAAACATTTATGTAGCCCATATTTTGATATTGTTAAGTAAAGATGAGGATGGACAATATATGAAAGAAGAAACAAGAACTTAAGATATAAGTAAGAATTTAGGACGGGAAAAAATTACGGGTTGATGAGGGATACAAGAGGTGCGACACTTCGACTACTCCGAATGATATGTTATAATGAAACCCTAATATATACATCATATATTTAATAAAATAGGCCTCTCGGCTAATCCCTCCGCTACCACTACAGACCCCCTTCCACTTTTCATGATTCATGTAGATATATGACTAGAAATAAATTCATCTATATTAACTCTAGATTCATGTAGATTTAGATTAACGTGAATGTTAATTAATTAAGAATTAATAACACAAAATTCATAAATAACAAGGATTTTGTAAGATTAAAATCGTCTAAAAAATTATTCTCGTTTAATGTAATAATGTTAATATATATTATAGATTTACTAGAAATCTAATATCTATATCAAACGAGATCTTAATCTCAAGTGAAAATCACGACGATGTCCAACTAATAATACATGCTTAAAAGCCACTGGATGAATTATTACTGATTATAAAAATAATTGAAACATGTATGGTCAACTTAGAAAATATTTATAATTATTAGTAGTTTGTAGCATGCTGGATGGAATTCCCTATTCATGGGTCATCCCGCAGCCAAGCGTGCTCAATCTGCACAATTTATTATAGACTCGTGCTTTTGTGCTCCCATCAGAATGTCAACTTATACGCATGTTCAAGGTGATTACACTATATATTTTCTTAAATAAAATAGAAAAATATTCTTTCCAAGCAGGAATATGTATTATTATTATTATTATTATTATTATTTGAAATAGTTGATTGTATGGATCTCAATTTGCATGTAGCCGATCACGTTGGTATCAACCCCAGGTTGTTCAAAAATAGTGCGTTGAGAGTTTATTTTTTCAGATTAGTTAATTTTATTTTTAAATGAGATAGAAAAGATATGTGGTGGAAAAAATGAAGAGTGATATGACATAGTCTCGTTTCAAAATCATAACATTAATGGACAATGAGCTGTAGTTGAAAATTTCAATTTTGCTTTATGGTCAGAGTGGAAAAAATTGAAAAACTCATTAATAGCCCTAGTGATTTTCAAGATTTTGCTAATTGTGTTTATTTTGTAATAATTGTCTCTCAAGATGTTCCCTTAATTAAAATAAAACACCTCAACCTATATAAAGTATAAACATTGCCCCCCCCCCCCCCCCCCCGAAAAAAAAAAAAAAAAAAAAAATCCGTCTGTACAGCCTTGTTTGTTATGCTCACCCACTGGGTTTCATAACCAAAGAGGCTGTCTCAGGCTGCAAGGAAGTACTTGACGAGTTGGGTCGCGTCCCTCAAAGATTTGGACGTTTGATTTTAAGATTATTAAAGCTTTCATCATTAGGATAAGTCCCTCCTTCTCTTGTTTTGTGTCTACCCTGTCAAATATTGTAAAATGAGAAGTTTTTAAAGCAATTATTTGATGGAATTGCCATAAATTTCCACTCTTCCAATATAATTATATAAAATAGGCTACAGGCATTTTTAAGTTTTTATTTATTTATTTTTGGGTATAGAAGAAGGGTAGTTTTGAACTTTTCTATATATTATTAGGGATGGTTATATTGTACCCACAAATTTTATTTGATATACTACGTTTTAATTACAGCTAAGTTTCTTAATTTTTGCTCATTGTAATAATTATTTTCTTAACTTTTTTTTAGCCGAACTCTTATATTCAACCTGTCATTAGTTAGTACTTCTCATCATTCGTGATGATTTATTACAAAGTATTTTATTTACCGTACCTTCTATTTATTTATCTTTCAAAAATATGATGGGAATAGAAGTTTTGTGTCGTTTCAACGGAACTTTGAACATTGTTATCAAATATAAAATATATTAACTAATGATAATTTGAGATAAGAATGATATAAAAATTATTAGGGACAAAAGGGTTATTATACATAAAGATTAATAACTTTAAGTATAATTAAAGTGTGGTATAAGAATTTAAAAATGATGGTTTGAATTATAATTACTCTATTATTAGACATGGAGTTCCATTTTGGGCCGTTAGTCAATTTAGCCCATAAGCAGACACTACTAATCAGTGTTCTAAAATAAGTAATGCGTGGGGATGTGTGGAGGCCAAGCTGTGGGCCATGTGAGATTAGACGAGACTTAGGCGTAAAAAAACGTAAAAAGACATTTTTTTTATTTTAATTTTTAATAAATCAAAAAAATTATTTAATAGATAGTCGGCTTGGCGGCTCTTATTTTGTCCCGCCTAAGTTTCGGCTGCAAAAGATTTGCAGAGTTCAGCAGCTGGAGCAAAACAATTAGAAAATTCAATTGCAGATGCATCATTCCGTATGGTACAAACCGATAAAATCTGCGTCACCGTTTTATAGTTGATTAATTGCCGTTCCTCATGAACAAAACGGTAAATTCTCTATAAATATATTAAAATCGAAATTTTTCCAGATCGATTGATTCGTGTTCTAACTATCGTAGTTTCAGTTGTATTGCATTTCGCAGTCAGATTGATTAATGTTTCTCTGTAGCGTAATTATTGTGTTCTGATTTCATAGACAGCAAAAATGGTTTTCAGTTTTATAATGGATTAGCTGGACAGGATTGATATCTATCTGAATCTGCTATGTTATTTTTCTGTACATTGATTCAATGATTATTAGTTACTTGAAACCCTAATTTGAAGTCCATTTGGTGCTTCGACCCTTGGAAATTTCATCAGCTCATCTCCCCCCATTTCTTTCCAATTGTATCTTGTCACAAAGTAATGAAGGAATGTAGAAATTTCTGCCAATCCAAGCTCCTTTCCAGGACACTGCCTAGTGCCTCCTCCAAATATGAAGAAATAGTTTTGGTACTCTGGGCCTTTGTCCTGCATACATTGGTTTAGAACATTAATCACTTTGGGAAAAAGTTAAGCCCTCTACCAAACATGCTATCATTGTGGACGCAAAAATTCTAGGATTTAGGATTACGAACCAGCCATCTCCATGGATTGAAGGTTAATGGATCAGGATAAAGGTGTGGATCATAGTTAATCTCTCTCGTGTAAACATATATCCTCCATCCTTCGGGAATAACAAATCCTGAAAGTCGAGAAAAGAGAGACGAGTTATTATAGTTTAATTAGTTCATCAAATTTTTGACAAAGAAAGTACTGATTACAAGTAAAACTAGTAGAGTCATCCGACTGATTTTTTCTGCTGATTAAACTTGGCTAATCTGGAATTATATTGCTGAAGTTGATTGCATCACATGGATATGAAAAGGCATGAGTCCATAGTTTCTTATGAAAGGAAGTACTGTGGAAGGAAGTTTCATCCTCCCTCATCCAAAAATATTATAGACAAAATAATTCATTTGGACAAAAGATGAATCATTAATGGAATGCTTTGGTTGGAATGTAGGTTTTCCATGTGGATCATGATAGGGTAGGGTCCATCATAAAAAGTTGATTTCTTCTATAGTAATGTTATTCAGCACGGTTGGTGTTAAGTAAAAATTTATGTGGCAACTGCTTAACATTAAATGATAAAATTACTTAAATATAATGTCAAATGATTCATTTAATTGAAAATATTAAGTCAAGTAAAGCCACCTAGACTTTTGCTCTAATACCGGTGGAAATGAATAACATTATTCTATCAAGTGTGGCCAATTATACGTGTACTCTAGTATTACTGGTACTAGATAACATTATTCTCTCCGATATTATCATTATATACATATGCAAGTGCAGAATTTATATATTTTACATATGCATAGATAGTCTCAAAGGGGGAAGAATTTGGGGACTGCTCCTACAGTCTATAATACTTTTGTTAAGGTGAATTATGAATATAACAATATTAATGTCAACTCTAGTTAAATGGCAGAAAATGATTCAAATAGGTGACCCTAATACCCACCATTTATTTCCATATCATTAGTCGTTTTCCTCAAAACTCCATTCACTATTGTGGCCATTCTTGAGGTTTCATAGATAACCTGCATAACAGAACACTATCACATTAATAAGCTGAAATTTATCCTCCAGTAACTAGTACACACGAAAGTTTCTAAGACTTACCGCACGTGTAAAGCACATTGATTTGTAGTCATTATAATCTATAGGATCCTCTGGCCTTTTCTTTTCTCTAATTGCCACATGCTCTTTCTACAAAGTATGAGAACAAGTTAGACAAACAAGCATTATTTAAGTCAATTGAAAACATAACGAGAACTGTAGCCTTTTAACTCACTCTTAATTCTTCGAGTACTTTTGGATGATCATGAAGATATTTAACTGCCATCATTGAAGTAGTTGATACAGTCTCATATCCAGAATACAAAATTGTGATGATCAAATCAATCATCTCCTCATCACTTAGATTAAATTTCTTCTCTCCTCCATTAATGAGGAAACCAAGCATGTCATTTTGAGTTTCTCCTGAAGCTCTTCTTTCTTCCACAAGCTTTCTCAACAAGCTTGTAATATTTTTCCTTGCCTGTGATGAATTGTTTTAGTCAACTAAGCATTTGATTATATTGAACCATATACATAAGGATTGCGTAATTTACCTGGAATCCACGATGATAGTTTGTATTGGGAAGATTTATAGGCAGTGAAAGAGTTCCTAGTACTAGCTTGAAGAATTCAGGCATGAATGCTTGAGATATTGAGCTGGCTTCATTGCTTGCTATTTGCCTCAGCGATGACAGAAAAGCCATCTGAACAAAATCATGAGGTATATTAGAACAGAAGGACAAATATAAAGAACTTAATCGATTCTTTAGTTAGAATTAGGCTATCCAAGACAAACCTCTTTCGATTTCTCTTGAATGTCTATGTTTTTGTTATCCCAATTGCTCAAATGGGATCTCATAAAATCATCGATTTTTGGCAGAAGTTGTTGTTTGATCATGGTGGGGCTGATGAGTGCAAGCAATGCCCCTCTCATGTGCTTGTGAGCAGAACCATGGACAGCTGCAATGTTACATTTCCCTAAGATGTCTAGCATCGACTGAGGATAGCCAGGGACAAGGCCTTTTGCTTCATTCACTAGAATATATCTATTTACCTCTGGATCCATTGAAACGATGGTAGGACAACCCAATAAGTGTGATTTGAAAAAACTCCCATACCTGTCACAGAAACACGGGACAGAAAAATTAGTTAAAATCTCTTAAAACCCAGATACTATGGCTGGACTTTAATGAAAAAAAAGCTAGAGCCCTTTATCGTATGTGAACCGATGACTTGGCGTTACAAAAAGTGGCGTGTTCTATTGGTTATCTATGCATAGAAGTTTCTCGTGTATGTATCTTTGATCAACGGGGAGTAAGGATCATAAGGTGATGTGATTTTCCACGGAGAGGTCTTGCTAGGCTTTTCGTAGGATAAAACTATCTTGTACACATAATAGATAAGGAATCTAAATATTGCAATAAGAACTATTTTAGAACGACAAAAAAACACCTTGATCTTTGGTTCTTCATGAAGCTAGGACCTTGTTTTAGAAACTCAGTTGTCTCTCCAAAAACTGGCCACCCCATAGTTCCAGGGGGCAATCCTTTCTTTCTGTACCTGACGTCATTCCATCTGAGTAAAGCGGTACTGAGAATACAGAGCCCAAAAAATACCCCAAGAATTACAATTAGGACAGCCATTGATTCTTCCTACAAGCTCCACCAACTTGTGAGAGAGAGAGAGAGAGGGCTTTTTTCTGTAGTTTATGCTGGTCATGTGTGCGTCTGAGTTTATATAGACTATAGAAATCCAATATGTACGTGTATAGAGAGGCATGATACGCCAAAACTCTGCACGAGAGGGTAGGGACCTAATCTTTAACCTCAAATTAAAAAGAAAAAAAGCAGGGACAAAATTGAATAGGAATTCTTCGTGACTAACTATTATGGGGCAACAACTTTATCAGATAGCCATTCAATACCTAAAGAACCTATCTTTTAGTTGGGTATTTTGGAAATTTGATTCAGTTACCAATTCATCAAAATTTCAGCCATAACTATTTGTTTTTGGGTGAATAGTTGAATTTTGGATGGGAAATCTGTGATTCTCCAATGATCTGGTTATTATTAATTAATCTTTTCCTGAAAGTGAAGGGAGAAAAATAGACTTTGACTGATGTTAGAACTATAGGCAGCACATGCACAGCACTCCATTGGAGCTAGACGAAAAGCAATGGAGACTAAGTGGTTCACATGTCTGTCAAATAGATCTGTCCATGAAATTACAAAGTCCCTTGAAACATATTCTTGATTGGTGTGATGTGAAAAAGAGTCAAATTATAGAGGTCGCAAAAAGAAATGTTACTGGTTAGGTGTTAAAACCATTCTTAAAGACACCCTTGGACATGTAACTTGACCATGTAACTTAGAGGCTTGATCTCCTGTTTTCAATAAGGGTCCGTTTGATTGCAAAGATTGAATTGAATTGAATTGAAAACGAATTATAGAGAATTAAATTGCTCAAAAATTGTTTTTCTGAGAATTGTAAATTATTGTGTTTGATTGGTATAATTTTTCACGTGGAAAATATTAAAATAAAAGTATTTTTTGGTATTCGTTTTACTTTATTTTACATGAAAATTGTCAATTAAAAAGATATATTTTATTGGTATTGAGAATGAAATTTGTTTTCATTGCCAACAAAAAAAAATCAAGAAAATAATCTATCTTTTGGTGTTCGTTTGACTTAGTTTTACATGAAAATTGTCGATTAAAATGAAATATTTTTGTACAGTATTTCTTAGAATTTGTTTCCATTACAAGTAAAAAAAAAAAAAAAAAAAAAACGTAACGGGGAACTAGAAAACCAAGAAAATTTCAAGTTTCAAGAAAATCAATAAACCAAATTCCATGGAATTCAAAACTTATCAAGCAAACAAAATTGGAAAAAAATGGAATTAGAATTCCATTTTTCATGGAATTTGAACCAATCAAATATAGCTTAAATTCACTGCAAGTTTTTATCTTGTTCATTAAGAGTAATTTCAAGAAACTCTCTGTTTTTAAAGAGCATATTAATTTTATTATTTGGAGAGAATCAATAAATTTAGGCCCTATTTGAGCTTCCATTAATTTGAAGAAATGTATTATTGAACAGTAATTGATGATGAATGTGTGGTTAAAAAAGATAATAAAAAAAAAGTTTTGATTTGTGTATAATATTATTTTAATGAAAAATGTGTGATTAAATATGAGTATTGTAGAAAAAGTAATGGGAAAAAATATAAAGTAAAGGATGACAAACAAGGACCTAGAGAGTTAAAATTTTAAAATGCTTCAATAAGTTCTTTATATTTTACACTTAATTTTACTACTTCCAAAAAATATTTATAATTTTTTTCTATATCTTATTTTAACTAGTGTTTCTTTAGATTATTTTATTATTTTTTTACATTAAAAATTGAAATATTTTAAAGTATTTAATTATAAAAAGTGAGTTTGACTCTTAAAACCAAATTCACTCTTAAAATTAAACTTTAAAGAATCAAACTCACTCTTTAAATTAAAATGTTAATTTAGATAATTTTTTGGAGTATGATTTTATAAATTGACCCTTTAAAATAAAGAGTATTTCATATTTAGCCTTTGTTTGAGTTACATTATTTTCATAAGAATGTATTTTTTAATAATATATTGATGGGAAATGTGTAGTTAGAAAATAAAATAAAAAAGTTTGAAGAATGTGTAACTGAAATAATATCAAATCAGTGTTTAAAAATACATATTTTTGGAATAGAATGTAGGTCAAATTGGCCTTAAAGAATCTCTTGAAAATGCTATAAGATAGGAGATCAATTCTAATGTAGGGAAGACAATTTGAATCGTTAAAATAAAAAATCAAAGTTAATTGAACCGAATGGGGCGAAAAAATCGAATCGATGGTGCAATGGGGTGGATATGATATTTGATTTTAATGAACCAGTTCGGGATGGTGCGAGTATGGTATTTACGCCGCCACCTCGAATCGAACTGATTACCGGTTAAATTTATTTTTTCCATCTAAATAGTAATCCAATGCAAAACATGTATAAAAAAATATATATCTAATTTTACAAACTCCACAAAGGCCTTTTTTCTTCCTTTACAGTTACACGTGATAGTTATCAACTCATTCGCTTTTGAAACGAACTTAATCAACAATTTTAATTTCAAAAAACTTATTCACTTACGATAAATTTGATCATTTGATTAGTTTTAAGTATTTGGATTGACTTCATTAAGTATATATATAATCATTGCCTTTCTTGATTTTGTCATTAGTAATCTAGACATTGCCCTTAGTACTATAAATCGTCGCCTTCTTATAGATGTATTCTCTATTGGCCCTTTGTACAAATTTGATTTGGTAAGTAATCAACAACGCAAATTGTTTGAAATGCTTCAATATAATTTACTCGACTATCAGTTGATAACCATGTATGACTTTTTAGGTGAAACTATCATTTCCGTTAACTCAACTCATGGAGACACGTGAATGTCATAGTTCGATGACTAAGAACTAAATGAATTTCGTCGACCAAATAACAAAATTATAAAATAAGGTGAGGGAGTTTGGTTCCATCCTAACTGCAAGTTAAGAGTTATAGTCTGAATCCAGTAGTAGACTGAACTTTAAACCTGTAGATTGTAATTCCTGGTAATTTTTCTCGTGAAATTTGACTTTTGGACTGTTTTCTCTGACAACTTTCCCTTCATGTTCTTTCCATACTCCTCGTTATAATCTCCATGACATCTCAAAATTCAAGAACTTTTTGATTTTTTGATCTTTGTGCCGATAAAGAAATTATTAAAATTGACAAGTTTAGGACATGTTTGAGCTACATTACTCGTAAAAATAAATTTTGTAATACTGATTTGATAGAGAATGTGTAGTTAAAAATAAAAAAAATTAAATTTGCATGTAATGTTATTTTATTTAAGAATATGTGATTAAAAATAAAAGAGAAAAATACATTTTAAAAATAATGAATATCAATCAAGGGCTTAGTCTTTTTCTATTGCTTAGGTCTCACTTCATATGATATTCACTTTTACTTCTACTTTTTTATAAAAAAAAAAGTTTTTGGATGAAGTTACTTTTATTTTTATTTGAAAATTAATTTTTAAAAGAGTTTTCAATTTCGAAAGTACTTTTAGAAAAAGTCATTTTAGATCAACTTCCTCCAAAAACTCTTCTATCTAGAAGATGCGTTTTCATAAAATCAGCTAAACATATTAGGTCCTGTTCGGTATGGATTTTGATAATTGATTTTTTTTTACCGTTAGGAGAAAAGTGGGGCTACATGTGAAAGAAGAAGTAAAAAATTACGACTATAATAATGAAATAATGATCAAAAAATCAAAATTTTCTGATAAAAAATCACTCTCAAATGGACCTTAAAAGCAATTTTTAAGATTCAAAAGTTCTTTTTGATTTTTCAGAAGGCATGACAGAGGCTAACAATGATTTAGGTTGGATTTGCGTGGGAGAATTAAGATAAAAGGTTTAAACTTAATTTCTGCTAATCACTTCAACTGACTTTAGAAAGGTTAGAAACTGGGGTTCACAATTAGATATATATGATAAGCTATACAAAATCTTATAATTTCCAGTCTACCCGTGTGGACAGAATGATGATTGCTAGTGTAGACAGATCTTGGTAAATGATTCTTGTACTCCTGATTATATAGAGGGAATAATATTATTTAACGAATAATTTTATTTGTACACTTAAAGGTGTATCGAATTATTTACCTCTCTCACTTGCACGTAGGATCTGTCTGAATAAAAAAATCTCAAAATGCGGTCCCCACCCCCGACTGTGAGTAGTCGGTAAGAGATTAGGAAAAAAATTCGGTACATATGGCATCTTCTTATTTAAAATTACTGATGTTGTAATATCAATTTGTATGGTGCTAGTTGCTATGTTCAATAAAAAAAAATTAAATAACTCATTTAATTATACCTCTGTCTAATGTTACATAAGTGTTTTTTAATGCTAAATAACAATATTCTTCTGCGGGTCTGATTGTTTTGGCAAATACTACATGAATAGACTGCTTTGACTGTGCTTTGGACTAATTATTTTTTATACATCTAATTCTTATTGCCATGGATCAATGTGTCATAGTGCTCCATAACATTTTGCCCCCGTTTGATCCATATTATTTCAAAAAATACATTTTTAAATAGTAATTTGACATCATTTTAACTGCACATTCTTCAATAAAATAATATTACACATAAATTCAAAATTTTTTCTTATTTTTAACCACATTTTTCATCAATACACATTCAAAAATGCATTCTTATAAAAATAATATGACCCAAACAAAGGCATTAGACGAGCACCAAAATGTTACTTTTATGTTTGTTGATAATATATCTGTGGAGCTCCCTCGTACTTCATCTTATTCCACCATCGAGAGTGAACGAATTTGTGAGGCATGTACTGAGTATTATATACGTGCTTGTTGAGTAAGGTGGCTTGTTTATTACAATGTAATATTAAAAAGAGAAAAGTTAAAATTTTGTCTATTGTATTATCAGTTATCTTTAATATTATGTATCAAATATATTCATGCTTCGTGAGGTCACCATCGTAATCTCTTATTTATAGTAAAAACCTCTTGATGTGAACTACTATAAAATTGCGTGTAGCTTGTGTGTTTTTTTATATAGTTTTGCTTATTATTTTTCTCGTAATTGAAATTAGGGTTAGTATTTCATTGGAGCATGTCCAATGTTAATGAATTATAACTACCTAGTTGTTTTTTTTTTTTTTTTTTTTTTTCCCCTGGCC